TCCCCTGCGATGTCCTGCTGCACATGGCAAAAAAAAAGAAAAAAAAAAAAAAGGGCTTTTCTAGGGATTCGAGAAAACCTCACCGGCTGCTGGTCGGGGCAGAGAGCGCTTTGATGCGGTCTGCGTAATGACCCTGAGATATCTTTAACGCCAGTTGGGCTTTTCCAGCTCAAAAAAAAAGAAAAAAAAAAAGAAGGGCTTTTCTAGGGATTCGAGAAAACCTCACCGGCTGCTGGTCGGGGCAGAGAGCGCTTTGATGCGGTCTGCGTAATGACCCTGAGATATCTTTAACGCCAGTTGGGCTTTTCCAGCTGGTGTTCCCAGGGCGAAACCTCCCATTCCTGGGGCGGGATGGAGCAGAAGTTGCCTTTTCCCAGCGGGACCCCATGGATGAGTCGGGGCAGCTCATCCATTGCCGGTACCCGAGTCCGTTATCTCCGGTAATTTATTTATGGAAGGGAAATAAATAAATTACGACCGCTGGCGGCAGGCTGGTCAGTGGGGCAAATGGGGCAGCACTCTCCGAAGGGGATTTCTGGGCTGGGACAGTCTCTCATCTCTTCACAGATAATCTCGTCACAGAGGATGGTCCCCGTGTCACACACGCAGATACGGCAGGGCTCCGGTTTCCACACATCTTTATCGCTATATCTCTGCCCGTCCTGCACGCAGCTGCCTGCCTCCTCTGCGCCAAACGGGAAGGGCGGTGGGAGGCAGGGGGGAGCCGGAAAGGAGAGGGGGAAACGGGAAAGGAGAGGGAGAAATAGGAAAGGAGAGGGAGAAATAGCATCACGGCATCAGCATGGCTCACGGCATCGCCCGCCCTGGTCCCTGGGGTGGCCCGGAGGGACAGGGGACCCACGGGCGAGAGCCCCCCCCCAGCGCGGGCCGCTCACGGGAATGCAGAGGGGCGCCCCACTGCGGAGCAGGGCCATGCTTCGAAAAAAAGAAAAAAAAAAAGGAAAAAATTAACCCCCCCCGCCCCCAGGAAAGCCCTTGGCCACCGGGGAAAGCACCAAAATGCTCCTTTAAGGCCCCGTTGGCGCGGGCGGCCGCCGGCCGGGCCCCCACGCGGCCCGACCG